ATCAAATACAATATTTCTGCAGATACCTTCTAAATTTGTACTAGATCGAAATCCGTTATGACAAGGTTTGACTGTATTCATTATTTATTTATCTTTCTTATTTATAGCTACCAATTCCCAGAGATCCTTTCCATGAAGGTAAATTTTTCTGCAAAAAAATTTAGAAGAAGCAACTTGACACTAAATATAATTCCACCATTGAAGATTCTCAAAAATAGCTCTATTAGTTGATAGAATAGGACTTTAGTTTTAATGTAATAGAGAGATTTTCTCAAAAAATTATTTGTTGTAGAGTTCTATTCTTTTTTAAAACATGTACTTTACTATGCTCATGAGGAATTGAGCACACTAAATTTAGACTAGTTTTTGACCATCATTAGACCTAATGTAAATTAACTTCATATTAACTATTTTTATATAGAGGTAATTCTATATATCACTTAATATTAAGAAAAAACAAATATAACAAATGGGGGGATTTTAATACCACATTACTAAATTTTGATCCCTGAAACCTTTGGTAATACCAATGTTCACTTTGTCTGGTTTTGTTGCAGCATGCCCATATAATAATTTATATACAATAGTTTATATACATTAGTTAACCTTTAGTTTGCATATGTAGTGCTTTTTTTTTTACTTTCCTTTAGACATGTTAGTGTTATCCAATTCTCTGGATTCATTTGAAAAAATTTTGGTTTTTTTATTTAGATTATCATAACATTATTCTTGGTAGATCTTCATATGCACAAAACTTCCATCATAAAATAGTAATTGATTAATTTTCAACATGTTTATACTTACTAATATTTTCCTAAATCAATCTAAAATAATAATAAAACAAAAAAATTTATTAAACATAAAATAGCAACAACAATAACAATAACAACAATATCGCCAATTAATTACCATTTTTTTTCTTTATTCTTTTTCTATTTGATTTTTTGGAATGAGATGATTTTGTAAATCTTTTAATTTTAATAGGATGAACCCTTTTTTTGATTTTTTCATTATTCATTGACTTTTTCTTCTTACTTGATAATTTATTATTATCAACTTCTATAATCTTTTCAATATTTTTAGAATATTCACTCTCTGATATTGAAGAAAAATTACAAATGTCTAAATCATTGATTATTGTAACCGTTGTCAATGTTTCAGGTGTTCTAAATTCGGATTTTTTCATTTCTATTTCTTGTTTCACATTTTTCTCTTCTTCCACATATTCATCAACCTTGTCTTGTAAGTTTTCATCAACATTTGATGATGATGATATAATTGAATCTATTAAGTATAAATAAATTATCTTTACAAATTTGTTTTGTTAAAAATCCATATGTATATATAAACTCAATTCCTTCCTTACACACTTTCAGTTGTTTTATAAAACTCTGCGATTTTTTTTATTTTTGCTTCTTTTGTCTAATTATTCAATAAAATTCATTGATGAGTTTTTTTTATTTTTAAAAACATATAGAGATACACAATATATTTATATGTCTATATATATATATATACAAACATACAGTTTTCCTAAGTTCAGATCTTTCTTTTTTTGCGAGTCTTATAGCTGTTTCTTTTGCCTTTGCCTTTCTTTCCAACTTTCTTTTATGAAAACCCGTTAAATATTCACTTAATTTTCATAAAATTTATTAAAATAAATAATAAAATAAATGTGCTGTTTTAATTTACAAAATATAACTAACCGTCTAGCATTTTCGTCAAAAACTATTTTTTCAACTTGTTGTTTTTTTCTTTCTCTTTTTTTAGCATATATTTGATTTCCCGAAGTTAATATTGTTAAATTATCCATCTTTTAAAAATTTTTTTTTTTTAACCAGACATAGCAACAAATTTGTGTCAATCACATTTGATTCTAGAGGTGCGCATAAATCATATGATTTCCTTTAATTTTGAATATTGAATGATTATTTGAATCCTTTGTATTATCAAGCTACAAAATAACATCATCATCAAAATTGAGAAACTAATTTTTTTTTGTTGAAAATTAATAATAGTTAGTATATAAAAGGGGTAGTATCTTAGTCATAATTTTACAAATAGTTGGAATTGATAATGATCCCTACATTCTATTGAGTCTGAAGAACAGAACAATTTAATAACAATAAATAATATGTATATTAATATTTTACATGGCTTCTATTGATTTAAGAGAAGCATAATTACTCAGAAGTTGATGGTTTAGCATTAGATGAATATGATGGCTACAATATAATTTTAAATAATTCCAGAAAATATTTTATCACCACTAATAATGGACACCAGTGTCAAGTTATGAATCTTGTTTCAGTCTTTCTTATCAGTTTTGTGAATTATTTATTATTATTATATAAAGTTAACATTAGGTTTGTTATATAATTCAGGCAAACTGAATAAAATGAAGATTTCAAACAATCCAAATAAAAGCAATAATTGAATAATTAAACAAATGATTTGAATCAATGGATCAAACAAATCATTTGGATCAACAATTCAAATTAAGAGCCATTCAGATAAGTGGACTAGTCCTGGGACTGTTAGTCCTGTCTTGAGACTGGATTGTCTTAAGTCCTTAGAAAAAAGTCCGGGCTTTTTTTAAACAAATCAAAATATTATATTTGTAAAAGTTATTTATTATATAGAAACAATTTGGAGTGATTATCCCTTAAACGAAATTGCGTCCAGATTTGGACGCAATTTGCAATAAATTACAAAAAAAGGTCTTTTCCTGCAGTTTCACCACAACCATTCTTATAATATGTGTAAAACGTAAAAGTTTCCTTTTGTTTTGTTATAAAAATAAGTGCACATCTTTTATTAATATGTGCTATGTTGATCATTGTTATAAAAAACCATAAATGTTATATAACAATTATATAACGTTATATAACATTCACATCTCTAAATACAAGCAACCCGATTCTAGCCAAAAAAAGCTCAAATTCTATATGCAAATCAAAGTCTGACCTCATCAGATGCTCCTATGATGATGGCCAAGCATTACGCACCTTACCTCTACATATATATTTCGGGGCCCTAGTTTACTCTACTATTTGATAAAGTTTCACTGGGAGTATAATTGAATTCTATATCGTTTGCAAATAAAAAAATATGTAATACAGTTATCAATAATTTTAAAAAAAATAAATGATATATTAATAAAGAATTAACATCAATTTATTATAATAAACAACAATAATAAAATAACAATGAATTACTATCTATTTATTTGTTATTTTAACAATAAAAAAAGAGAGCATTGTACCAACATGATTTTTTTTAAAATATAAAGCTCATATAACACAAATGTCAATCATTTTAAAGGTAGTGATTGGCCCGATTATAATGTCGCGGTCACCTTTCCTTTTTTTAAAGCACTTTTGAATCATAGTGCTGGTGGCGGTGACATTCAAGAGAGTTTTTCCGTCCTACCAAAAGATGTTGATCATTTTGATGATTCACAACTAACATTTTCAATGGAATACACTTTATATAATATTAATTTCATACTTCCCAAAAAATTATAAAAACAAAATCTCATTGAACTTGAATTTGATTTGAATTTCAATGTTCGGCTCATTTTTCATTTTTCAATTTTCAATTTTCATTTGTCATTTATAATTAATAATCATTATTATTAATCATTAATCGTCAGAATATATATATACAACGCTTTTATTTTCGTGAAATCCTTTTTTGTAGGATTTTATTCACTCAAAAAATATGACAATAATCGCTTAAAGTATACATTTCCGTTGCACCAATTTAAATGCCGCTATATCTCATTGTTAAATTAAATTAAAAAATTATTGTTAATATTAATTAATTGATTGATTAATCAGGCATGTAATTTAAAGTGATCAGCGTCCTATATATTCAAAAGGATTTAATTTAATCGGATTCGCCATACAAGATATCTTGATTTTGAATATTACTGCAATAAAATCTTAGAATGTCATCGATCGTACTACATTCTGATTGACGAAGCCCCAAATGGTAATTTCGATCATTCAGAAAAAATCACGTCTGTAATATCAAAATAGGTTAACAATAGAGCTGAATAGGATCGGCTCCAAAACTTCGGCTAGCCATTAGATGTGTATAATATAATCAATTATATGTAT